TGAAATATTGTTTTTCGGCATTTTCTTCCGAATTATCATTATCAGTAACCTTCTCTTTCACTGAACTTAATTGTTGAAATTTTTTCTGTAATCTTTTCTTAATCTGTTCAAAAATAAAATTAATTGGATAGCCATTTTTCAACAATACGTCAATGATTATTCTAAAATTCTTATTGTGAAACATAGGATGTGACAATGATTTAAAACAATACTATTATAAACAACTAGTATACATGTGTTGTTAAATTATTATTACGTATATACGCAACTAAAGGATATACATTTTATAAATGTTCACTTTGAACTGGCACCTTCAATAATATATCAGTTTGTTTTCTAACGTCGAAATTGTCGGTTGCATTGCATTACCTTGAGAATTTAATGTACTTTTATTATTGTAATGTGTAACGATGCACTCCGCAATGCATTGTTCCGACGATACCAGCCGCCAGAAATATTTCATACTTCGCGATATTAGAATTACCGCCGTCGACTAGTAGCTATCGCCGCTCCGACCGAACGTGTCCGAAGATCGCCGAACGATTTGCGCTTCGCGCTATCCGCCGCTACCATTTCATTATCTTTCAATTCGAAATAACTTCGAGGATGATGGTTTTATCAAAAAATGTTTGAGACAAAAGTTACCGGGTTTGAAGGGGGCCGGCCGTCGGTGACCTTGACTTTGACCTTGAAGTCAAATTTGAAGGTTATTTCTGGATCAAATCGTGATTTTCGAATGAAAACCCCCATTTTTTTATTAGGGATATCGAAAGAGCGGGAAATTTCACGTCCCAACACGTGGTCATGTTTTATCCAAAATGTCCTCTAACAACATTACAAGGTCAAACGAATGGAGCGGTGATGAAGACTATTGCATGCAGATGCGCAAAACATAACAGTTTCAAGGATCACAGGGGTACGTCGAACGGTGACCTTGACCTTGATGTTGAGGTTAAAGTTGAAGGTTATGTCAAGGTCGAAGTATTTTTTCTTGTCATCAAATGGAATGACGTATGACCTTTTTGAATATGATGTTAAAAAACCGTAGTCACTTTTGCATGAATTTTACGTTAAATACTGCACGGTTGCGTTTAGGTTTTGCGCTTAATGTGTGTGCGCTTAATATCAACTAAAATCAGGACGACCCTCGGTTTCAGCTTTACACGATGTACACCACGTGGAGGTAACCGATAGGAGTTTGTACATCATGTGGCCCTGAAAAGGGCCGTTTGCATTCATGTGTGCGCGCGCGCGCGCGCGCGTGTGTGTGTGTGTGTGTGTGGGCCATATTTGTATTTGGCTTCCAAGGTCACCAGATCTGACACCCTTTGATTTCTTTTTTTGGGGATACATTAAAGAAAAGGTTTACGCTGAAGAGCCTACAACAGTTGAGGATATGAAAACCTCATTCGCGATGCGTGTGCTTCAATAACCCCTGACATTCTCCACAGAGTAAGGGGGTCGTTTCAAAAGAGGATCAGGAAATGCATTGAAGTCAATGGGCAATCAATTGAGCCCGTAAAGTAGATCATGCAGACTTGACACGTCTTGATCAATATCTTCCCTTGACCGGCCGGATGATATCACGTTCACACGCACGCACGCACGCACGCACGCACACACACACATGAATGCAAACGGTCCTTTTCAGGGCCACATGATGTACAAACTCCTATCGGTTACCTCCACGTGGTATACATCGGGTAAAGCTGAAACCGAGGGTCGTCCTGATTTTAGTTGATATTAAGCGCACACACATTAAGTGCAAAACCTAAACGCACACCGTGCAGTATTTAATGTAAAATTCATGCAAAAGTGACAACGGTTTTTTAACATCATATTCAAGAAGGTCATACATCATTCCATTTGATGACAAGAAAAAATACTTCGACCTTGACATAACCTTCAACTTTAACCTCAACATCAAGGTCAATGTCACCGTTCGACGTACCCCTGTGATTCTTGCAACTGTTATGTTTTGCGCATCTGCAATAGTCTTCATCACCGCTCCATTCGTTTGACCTTATAATGTTGTTAGAGGACATTTTGGATAAAACAGACCACGTGTTGGGACGTGAAATTTCCCGCTCTTTCGATATCCCTAATAAAAAATTGGGATTTCCATTTGAAAATCACGATTTGATCCTGAAATAACCTTCAAATTTGACTTCAAGGTCAAAGTCAAGGTCACCGACGGCCGGCCCCCTTCAAACCCGGTAACTTTCGTCTCAAACATTTTTTGATAAAACCATCATCTTCGAAGTTATTTCGACCGATAGATTAAAATGGGACTCCCGTATATATATGTATACGTATATATATATATATATAACAGTTTTTTACATTTTAAAAATAAATCACAAAGGATCAACATTAATTTTAAGAGAATTCTTACACCAAATTGTCTATTTTAACGTAATACAGTTTATTATTGAAAGATAATGAAATGGTACATATTACCATAAAAAATGACTCATATGTTATTGAAGGTGCTAGTTCAAAGTAAACATACATAAAGTATAAATTTTTTTGTTGCATATATACGTAATAATGATTTAATTTTTAATTAACGAGTATTGATTTGTGCATAATCATATCATTGAATATATAGTATAGATTACCTTTACATTTACATGTTTACCATCTAAAGCTCCAATAAAATGCGGAAAGTTCCAATCATTTTCGAATTCTTTTACAACTTTTTTCCATTCATTTTCAGATGGTTGAAATAGTTCGTTTTGAAGAACATTTCACAGGCTTTCGCATGTCTCTGATATTATCTAGAGTCCCTATAATAAGGAGTCTGGCCAATCTTTCTAGTTTGCTAAAACATGGCGTCGTAGATATAGGTATAGTCAACTGATGTGATACTATAAATATATCGTAAACAGTATATAATCATTATAAATAAATAAAATAACTAATTTTGTAATACATATTGATAAAAGATCACAGCCTGTGTAAAAAGTAAGTGTGATATATATATATATATATATCTCACTTACTTTTTCTATTTTATATATATATATATATATAATAGAAAAAGTAAGTGAGATATATATATATATATCAACCAAATTATACATGCATGCTGACATGAGGCATCTTATTGGTTCTTGAGGCTATTTGAGGCATCTTATTGGTTCCGCTATATTTTAACAATACCAATAGAATTAGTAATGACTTGGCCAGACTCCTTATTATAGGGACTCTAATATTATCTTACAAACAGTACTTTGTCCAACTCGAGAAGCAAAGGTAATTGAAGACATAGTGTCTCCAGTAGCCAAAAACCTATAATAATACCAAATATAATATCATAACATTAATAAATGTATACATTAATATTGTTTAGAACCTTCCTCAATGTTAAATATAGTCTGCTACGTGCTGGTATAGGTTCCCGATAATTTATTGGCATCTTTTCTATATGTGGCTGTACTATACGTAATAAATTATCAAGCCTTCAACGGTAAGACGCGTGTATTGGAAATGAACCTCTACATCGTAAAGTCGCATTTCTTGAATTAAATGATTACCATCACCTTGGTTATTACGCTTTTGATTAATAGGCCGGATCCACCATCGCCGTTTTTGTTGATAATTAATGTTCTTTTTTTTTTAAATTGGATATACCACAACGCTAAGAGTACCTTTGTATTCATATCAATTTCAACAGCATTTATTTGTATAATATATAACAGAAGTAACAAATGTTTTCACTGTTTATCCATCATTACCTTAAAAAATATATTCTATTATCTAATAATGTTAAACGAGGATAAATAATACATTGGTGCATCCGGAAAATTTTCCGAACACAGTCCAATAAGCATATATATAATTTTTCCAAGTATCGCGACGTCGCAGCAAAAGTTGGACGAAGCTGAACATTTCTCGTACGAGACAAGCGAATGAATCGAGCTGCGTATGATTACACAAAAAGCAGAATTAATTGAAGAATATAATCTTATACATAACCTTGATATATGTAACAAAACATCTTACAACCTGTACGTCAACATATATAATAATTCAATATATCACAAGAACAAGACTATTACCAAGATTACGAATATTTATATAAATGATACGGAATGTATCCAAAGTGATACAGAAAATGTCGATGTAAGTATATAAATAAATATTAATCAGTTTATTACAGTTAGATTATGTGTGTCGTTATGTGAACAACAAAATACTTAAATATATTTGTAACAATAATTATTTTAAATGAATACTATTCATATGAAAAATTTGCAGTCCAATATTGATACCTCACAACTTAATTTACAAGAATTTGAAGAAATATACCAGGCCTCGGCAAAAAATGCAACTTTCGGCCGTTTTTCGAATCGACTCCGCCTACCGCTGTCCCCCTTACCTCACCACCCGCGCGCAATCCAAATGCCGCGCGACACTTAGGAGCGTACTAAGACGCTCATAGACGTAAAGAGCATTCGTTCGGGGCGCTCGACACGCTGTAATCTTCATTCTATCTTTTTTTTCGCTCATTACATACGAAACTAATAGTGAATTCGGTTGAACATACTAGTGCATATTAGTGTACATTAAAACCGTTATACAGAGATTTAATCCGTGTAAAAGTAAAATGCAAATATTCGAATACAGATTTTACATAACGGCATAATAACATCTATTGCAGATCTCATGGTTTAATTCCGTTTTTATATTTATATTAAACATACATTTTTATAATTTCAATTTGTGTACGATTTTAATGTGCGTCAGTGCGCACTGAGTGCAGATCCAATCGAATTCGCTGTAAGATAGAACGACGCAACGTGTGAGCACTAAAAGCGAATACATCCAATGAATTTTCAAATAGATTTCCACATCACCCTTGAGGTACTATTGTTGACGCGTTTTTTTTTTAAGTGGTATCCCCAGTAGGCCTAGTCCACTGATAAAAATGATGAATTGTACGACCATTTAAATTTTTAATAATTGAACAAAATAACAGATCGAATTAAGAAAATTCAATCCGATTTTCGGAATCTTTTACGGGCGAAAGCAGAAACGTCGATTTTCATATTACTCGTAGCGATCCGTATAAGACGAGGTAAAGAATTATCACTCAAGGAAGAACGTCTTTCATTTTTTATTAATTTCATTTTGGAAAATGATGTCTCACATAAATATGTGGATCCAAACATAGAATGAATTCGAAGTCCGAAATCTCGAAGCTTGGGATATGATGATTCTTTCAACATTTTGTAAAAATCGACACCAGTTTCTTTAATCGTTTTAAGCGAAATATCGTTCTGTAAATCAAATAATTCATCCTGCAAATCAAGATGCTGTTCTTCAATTGGAGCTGTAAGGGGATTCTCGAAAAGAATTAATTCGGTTTTAAGTTTCTCGAAACAAGTAAACCGCTTATCGAATTCGTCTATTAGAGAATCTAGAAAATGAGTATATTCTTTGAAATTACAAACATTGCCATGTTCTTCGAGAATAATCTGACATGAGGGAAAAAAGTGAAATATATTATCATTTAAGTGAGATTTCAATGCCTGTAATTTTCTTCGAAAAGAATTAACATGACTGACTAACTGGGAAATATTTTGATTCATCTTTTGCAGCTTTAAATTGAGAAACCTAAGTTGATTACTTATATCAGTAATAAAAGCGAGTTCAGTAAGAAATGTGACATCTTCCAAAAGGGATATATATTCATGAAATTTTGATTTGTTCATTTCTTTTAGAAAAAGAAGAATCTCTTTTCTTATTGTGAAAAATACTTGTAAACATTTTGCAGCACTAAGCCAACGAACTGGACAATGAAGTGGGACATCTGTGTAAACAGCTTTATGTTCGTCAAGAAATAATTTAAATTTTCGGTGAGTCAGAAATTTGTGTCCACCTTTAATTTCATTGATTATTTTAGTGATAGTCTCCATAGCTGTTGAAAGTTTTACAACTTTACCGGCTAATGCTTCCTGATGTATTATGCAATGTATAATGGGGATATTTAAATTTCGCTGTTTTAATTGGCCAGCAAATCCTATCTTTGAACCTGTCATCGCTTTCGCACCGTCAGTTGTAATCGAAGAACATTTACTAAAATCTATGTTAAACTTTTTAAGAGTTTCTTCAACTGCCAAAAAAATATCGAGACCTGTTGTTGTGTCACGTAATACGACAAAATCTAAAAGTTCCTCGACACACGAGTAATCGTTTTGCACAATTCGAGTAAAAATACTCAGTTGGCTCATGTGTCGAATATCGGTACTTTCATCAAGGCACAGAGAAAAATATTTACATGATTTTAGAAGATCCTGTAACTTGTCTCCTATAGAATCATTTATATCAGCAATTCTTGAAGTTACAGTTTTTGCACTAAGGGGAATATTCACTGCTTGCTCCAAAGTTAAAGAATTGCCAAAAGCTTTTACTGTTTCGATAATACAATCTTTTATAAAGGCACCTTCGGTAAATGGCTTAGAATTTTGTGCTATAAGCAAAGACACAGCGTAAGACGCTTGTAGGGAAGAAGAATCATCATTGGAAGAAGAAGAAGGTATTGAATTTTCTTGATGAACTAATTTCAAACCTTCGATAACACTCAGTTTCTCTGAATTTGAGTAATTCGAATAATTTTTCTCATGACGGTTTTTGAAATGCTTCTCAATCACAAATTTTTTAGCAACCGAAAGTTCATATCTACAAAGTAAACAAATCGTCCGACCTGAAATACAACTAAAAAAGTAATTAATTTCCCAAGATTTATCAAAAAATTGAACATACTTATTTTAACATATATTTAACATATACTTTAACATATATAATTTCTCAGTAAAATAATCAAATTAAACGTATTTACCTTTATGCTACAGATAGCAATTTACCTCTTTGCTGTCTCGATCTGCTGAATGTCTGCTACGATCCAACGAATTTCACAAGATCACTAATTTGCTATGTAAGGTACGAGAGACGAACTGCTCACGATATGACAATCGCTGACGCCCGCGACCGCTGAAAAATTTTGTTTTTTATTGTCGACGTTCATTGTCGACGTTTCGGCAATTGTCGCGCAAAATGTTTACAAGTATTTTTCACAATAAGAAAAGAGATTCTTCTTTTTCTAAACGAAATGAACAAACCAAAATTTCATGAATATATATCCCTTTTGGAAGATGTCACATTTCTTACTGAACTCGCTTTTATTACTGATATAAGTAATCAACTTAGGTTTCTCAATTTAAAGCTGCAAAAGATGAATCAAAATATTTCCCAGTTAGTCAGTCATGTTAATTCTTTTCGAAGAAAATTACAGGCATTGAAATCTCATTTAAATGATAACACAGCCCAACAAAATTTTGTTGACTTACAAGTAAAAGTCGATTCCTATAGGATTTTTTCCGCAGAATCCAAATATGCCAATAAAAATATTGAATTGGCTCTAGTTTTTAAACAACTGAAGATCAAAAGGGTCGAATCACACGATTTTGCCAAATTTTGAGCGTCTATCAAAAAGGAACGAGCAACAATAAAATTGTCTTTCCGTGACGAAAAGAAAGCTCGAGTATTGTTCTTTCAAGATATGGAGTACGAAATTGGATGCAGTGAATTTTACACATGTGTTTTCGTGTGTATGTGTGCGTGTTCCTGCTATCGGCATTACGGAAGGAACGGACGTAGTAGACTTGTAATTGTGTGTGTGTGTGTGTGTGCGTGCGTGCGTGCGTGCGTGCGTGCGTGCGTCTACCTTGATGTCTTCCTTCCAATGTTGTAAACACTTCGTGAAATTGGTTTCCTTGTTCCTCTTCACTGGCAGAATTTTATCCGTTCATGTGACGAACTTAAAAACTCGATAAACGGTACCTTTCAGGTTCATTAACTCAATTTTTAGTTTTACATTTTAGAAATTGTAAAATTGAGTTCACAATAGAAATTTTTAACTGTGTACGCTACTAGCATATTTCAGAAAGAGATTCAATAAAGCATCGGAGCGAACGAGCGATCTTTGTTTTGTAAGTTTCTCATCGTTTTCAAGCCTAATGAAATCTGTATGGTAAATTTCGCCCTCCTGCACAGGAGTGAGTATATTCGTCCTCACAAGCTTGGTTCTGTTTGTACAAAACCGGCGATTCTGTTGTTTAAAAATGTAACTTTAGGTTTAATTAAGTATTGTATTCGGCACCTCCGAGATGTAAAATAAAAATTGAAAAAATTCACTTTTATTAAAAGGAACTTTGGAACTTTGTCAATCTTTTCGGCAATAAACGACCGGATAGGTCAGAATTTCAGCTACATTGAGAAAAAAAATTGTTGACTCAACTAAATTAGCGGTCACGGGCTGTCAAGCAAATATTTTGTTAGTCGAAATATTAATGTATTTGAGTCAAATACGCAGTAGTACTTTGAACAATGACTTATTTATTTCGACAGGACCTATTTTTGAATTAACAAAATATTTACTTGACAGCCCGTGACCTCTAATTTAGTTGAGTTAACAATTTTTTTTTTCTCAGTGTATAGTGAACAGAGAGCTTGACGGTAAGGTTTTAACGAAACAGTGTCGAAAAAACCTTAATTTTCTTCATAAATCAGTAGATCAAAATTTGCCTTGTAATATGACTTCGACGCGAAGATCTTGCATTCACCATCCAGATGTATTCTGCTACATTTGTGGTGAATATACTACGGCGAAACAGAGGCAAAATATTTCAGATTTTGTTAAAAAAGCATATCTAGATTACTTCGGTTTTGCATAAGGTTTGTAAGGGTTCCCCATAAGGTTTGTAGATCGTGTGTCGAATCATTGCGGTTATGGCTTAATGGAAAAAGACGTGGTTTGAAATTTGGCGTCCCAATGGTGTGGATGGAACCGAAAAATCATCATAATGATTGTTATTTTTGCATTGTAAATGTGAGTGGTTTTAATCGTTATAAGAAAGGTTTATGGGATTATCCGAATTTGGAATCAGCAAAACGACCTGTACTACACAGTGAAGACCTTCCTGTACCAGCTTGTACACCCCAACTGTATCTATCATTTTCTAATGACGACAAACTGAAACTTGACTGTTCCTCAAGTTTCAGCAGTGAAAGTGAAGATGAGGGAAACTTACGGACACAAGAACAATTTTCACAGGCTGAAGTAAATGATTTAGTGCGGGATCTTAATCTGTCCAAGGAAGCATCAGAACTTCTAGCATCTCGATTGAAAGAAAAAAAATGTTTGGAACCAACAGTTAAAATATCAGCTTACAGAAATAGAGAGCAAGATATTTTTCCGTATTTTAGTCAGGATGAAGAGTTCGTTTATTGCAATGATATTGCTGGACTTCTTATCAAAATGGGTTTAACTGAATATAAACCTGAGTCTTTCCGACTTTTCATTGACAGTAGCAAAAGAAGCTTAAAGTGTGTCCTACTCCACAATGGAAATCGCTATGCTCCTGTACCAATCGGGCACTCAACAAAACTCAAAGAAGAGTATCAAAATATAAAGATGGTCTTGCAGAAAATTCGGTACGAAGAACATCAGTGGGTTGTTTGTGTCGACTTAAAAATGGTAAATTTCTTACTTGGACAACAAAGTGGATACACCAAGTACCCTTGCTTCATTTGTATGTGGGATAGTAGAGCAAAAAAAGATCACTGGACAAAAACGACATGGCCATTACGAGAAAGTTTGACAGTAGGTACAGCGAACGTTATAAACCAGCCTTTGCTCGATAAGTAATAAAATTATAATTCCACCACTACATCTAAAACTTGGTCTTATGAAACAATTTATCAAAGCCTTAAACAAAGAAGGAAAATGCTTTCAATACATTGCAAAATTTTTTCCTCAAATAAGCATGGAGAAATTGAAAGCAGGCATTTTTGATGGACCGCAAATTCGAAAGTTGACTAAAGATTTGGATTTTTTGAAATCAATGACTGATGTTGAAGTTTCTGCGTGGTCCAGTTTTGTTTTAGTGTGTCAGGAATTCTTAGGCAACAAAAAATCAGAGAATTACAAAGACCTGGTTCAAAATATGCTACAAAATTTCCAAAAGCTGGGTACTAATATGAGCATTAAAGTTCACTACCTCCATATGCACTTGGACCGATTTCCAGAAAACCTTGGTGATTTAAGCGAGGAGCAAGGAGAGCGTTTTCACCAAGATACTAGAATAATGGAAGAAAGGTATCAAGGTAGATGGGATAGACACATGATGGCAGACTATTGTTGGAACCTCATGCGTGATTCTCCGCAAACGCACAGAAGAAAATCGTGTAAACGACGTTTTGATGAAGCATGAACACACCCATGCGCAGACACGTGAGAGGCCAGGGGAGTACTCACGTTAATCGATTACTGTATACTTATAACTGTAAATATAAGCTATATTAAAAAAATTGTATGTATCATTTAAAAAAAACAAATCTAATTTGTTAATGCAACAGTAAGAATATCACATGTTTATCTTTCAACACGCGCGTGCACACGCACGCATGCACACACACACACACACACACACACACACACACACACACACACAAACACACACACACACACACACATACACACACACATACACACGAAAACACATGTGTAAAATTCACTGCATCCAATTTCGTGCTCCATATCTTGAAAGAACAATACTAGAGCTTTCTTTTCGTCTCGGGAAGACAATTTTATTGTTGCTCGTTCCTTTTTGATAGACGCTCAAAATTTGGCAAAATCGTGTGATTCGACCCTTTTGATCTTCAGTTGTTTAAAAACTAGAGCCAATTCAATATTTTTATTGGCATATTTGGATTCTGCGGACAAAATCCTATCGGAATCGACTTCTACTTGTAAGTCCACGTGAAATTAGGGAAATTTTGTTGGGCTGTGTAATATATTTCACTTTTTCCCCTCATGTCAGATTATTCTCGAAGAACATGGCAGTGTTTGTAATTTCAAAGAATATACTCATTTTTTAGATTCTCTAATAGACGAATTCGATAAGCGGTTAAACAACCTAAATTCCGCGCGGATCAGCTCGTCGTAAATTTCGCTAGTCGCGAAAAAGGTTCGCACGGGAAGAGAGAATGCAGAAACTAATAATTAGACAGTAATTCAAGACCAGAGACAGAAACGTTTATTGCGTGTATCGTGTATATTTACAAAGGTGTGTGTATGTGTGCGTGTGTATGTGTGTGAATGACAAACAGGTGTGTGTCGTGTGTCGGTGTACGCAGGTGTATGTGTGTCGTGTCGAGACGGCAAGTAGACGAAACGTATACAAGACGTGTACAGAAAAACAACGAGGCGCGGACAGAAAAACCAAGATATTACGGACGGCACGAACAGAAAAACTATACGTGTAAATTACGGCGCGAGTACGGCGGAAAACGCGGGGGAATCTCCGAATCCCAAGACGGACGCGAGGCGCGGTCGGCGGTATAACAATACGGATACGCGTACGCGAAGTATACGCCAGCGGCGGATGACGGTCGCGGCGCGGATAACGCGGTGGGCGTTCCCTCTATGCAATGAGGGACGCTTCGCAAAATGTAAGGCACGGATACACTAACGCCCGACTGCCAAGAACGCTTGGCGGAGGCGAAGAAGACTTCACCCCCTTTTCGCGTCGGTGCGGTAGTTCTAGGATACTGGCGTACGGCTGTCGAGAACGCTCGACGGAGGCAAAGAACGCTTTACCCCCTTTTCGCGTCGTACGGCCAGCGGATCAGGAGTTTTGGTGATCGACT